ATCATCGTTGAAGCCGCTACCCTGGCTCAACTATGTATGCACCCCTCAGCACGGCTCACGACTTGGACCTGTCCTTGCTGCCGAGCAGCGTCTCGCAAACCCGTGCAAACCAGCTTGAGCGCAGCTAGGGCACAGGGTACCCTGACGCTGCCCACGAGGCCCTTGCCGTGCCCCTGGTCGTGTACGCGATGCTGGCCAGACCGTCACCACGATCAGCACAGGCGAGTCACAGCAGAACGATCTTATCGCATTTGTATAAGGCACCCAGGCGACGCGCCTTCCAACGACAGCCACTATACCAATGACGCGAACGACATGTATGACGCTAGTACGGCGCCCATACCTTTGCCAGCGGGCGGCGTAGACACTCTGTACCAGTGAGCGCTCGACGGGATCTATGCCGATGTCGCATACCATATTCAGGTCACTTGGGAAAACCATCCCTTCGGCCGCGAACATGGCCAGAGAACTTTGAACTTCGTCGACGCGCAGGTCCTCGTCGTCCTGTTGCGCTGCTGCGCGACCACCGTCGCAAAGAGCGGCCACGCCGCCGAAGCGGAAGGCGCCACACGTGTTAGTGTTTCCCCTCACACGTTGGCACGCTTTGCTTCCCTACTCGCGCCCCTGGCGGCCCATTTTGCGCCCATCGGCAAGAGTGGTGTCATCAGTGCCTCCCACAGGGGGCGTCCCAGAAGGACGACGTCATTCACCCTACTCGTAACAGCGAGATGGACGACGACGACGACGATGGCCACAGCAACGACAGCGAGCACCCTCGGCCCGACCGCGGTAATGCCGACGATGAGGACGAATTTGAGGATGAAGACGATGTTGGTGCTCATACCGCCGAAGCCCATACTTATGATGCATATGCAGCTGCTGTCCTAATGTTTCAAGCGACAGGTCCGACATTCGCTACCACTTCCAGTAAGGACGTCGAAGCTGCTTACAACATCAGAGTAGTTGACACAGCCGGAGAGGGCAGCTATGCTCATGCAGCTGATGCCTAGGCCATTACGATGGCGAGATCGATGCAGACAGTAGTCCAATATGTGGTCATCGCGCTCCTGCTCACACCCACAGCCACAGCCACACAGCGGGCCGTCCTGACATGATCGATGCCGACGGCACTATCGCCTGCGTTTGTGAAGATGACGTCCACGTTGAGACGACAGGTCTTGCCGTACACGTGCGCATGCCAACTGGCAACCAGCCAGGCCCGCCTGTAACAGTTGGAGGAGTATTCCCGCTGACTGTACCCGCGAGTACACAACAGCAAACTCGTGGTTGTTAGTGAAGCCGCCGCCACCAGCAGTGTCGACACCACCCAACACTGCTGCCCGCGAGTCCAAAATCAGCGACGCCGAAGCCGACGTCGTGAACTTCAGCGCTGCGAGCGCCTGTGCAAACTGCCCCAAACTATGTGCTCCTCCCCCGTAAGGAGCGAGTCAGAATCCCGGCCGGGCTTCCCACTCCTGCGCAGCGGACCGTGGCAGTATTGGCGCTGGCGTAAACAACACCAGGGTCTCCTCCTTCTCCCCCCTGCGCCTTTGAAGAGCAAGTTAGAACTCAGGCCGGGCCTCAGATTCCCTGCGGGCGCGGCAGGGAATTTGCAGATCCGAGCTGGGCCTCACCTGCAAGGTCCGTGGTGCTGGTCGACACCACACGTCCTGGACCGTCTCGGAGGAGGCCTCCGCAAGACATCCAGGGGTCAGGGGCGCGAGTTCTGTGGGAAAAATTGGCCCCGATGCAGTCACAGGGGAGCGTCCGGGCTCGCTCCTCCTCGTTCTCCTCGTCGTCGTCGTCCTGCTCCTCCTCCTCGTCCTCCTCCTCCTCGTCCTCCTCCTCCTCCTCCTCCTCCTCCCCCTCCTCCTCCCCCTCCCCCTCTCCCTCCCCCCCCTCCCTCTCCTCCTCCTCCGCGGCCGCGGGTCTGCCCGAGCGCCCGAGCACCTTGATGTGGTGCTTAGGCCGGGGCCTATTGACACGCATACACGGGAGGGCGCCGACGACCTCCCCCTCCTCCTTCTCCTCCCCTCCCTCCCTCCCTCCCTCCCTCCCTCCCTCCCTCCCTCCCTCCCTGCCTCCCTCCCTGCCTCCCTGCCTCCACGCCCACTGTGGTACTACGGGGACCCCAGGCAGGCCTGCCCAGAGCAGGACCTGCACCCATGTGCACCCCGCCAGGGAGAATCGAAGGCCTCGCGCGTGGAGGCCACTCCCCCGCGCGCCTTCAATGCCCTCACGCCCCCCTCCCGCGTGCCGGGGGTGTGCGCAGGTGGAGGGGCACACGTGCGCCCTGAGCGGCAGCATGCGGCGCGGCTGGAAGCCCTCGTGGGAGACAGAGAGCGCCAGAGGGGCCCGCGGCGGGCGCCGCCGGCTAGAGAGCGAGAGAGAGGCCATGGGCACCGGGGCCCTCGGAGGCCCAGAAGGGTCTCCAGGGCACGGTCGCTGAGGCCGAGCATCATCGAGGGGTCGATCGGCGCCACCCCGACATACTGATACCATCTGTGCGCCGCCCCCCCTCCCAGGCCACGCGCGCGCCGAGAAATCTTACAGTCGGACGTTGGGGGGTGAGGTCGCAGCGGAACGGAGAGCCCCCCACCGGGAAGTCGTTTTCGGTTTCGTGTTCGTGTCGTGCGTGCGGGCGAGGCGAAGCTGCGTGGGCGCGCGAGAGCGCTTGGGCGATTCGGATGCAGTGGATCGCCCTTCCGCCCCCGGTGGGCGTGCAGTGGCCTGGGGTGTCCCGCCGTGGTGTCTTGTGGTGTCCCGTAGGTGTCCCGTTGGTGTCCCGTCGGTGTTCTGTCGGCGGTGGGCGTGCAGTGGCCCAGGGTTTCCCGCCTTGTTATCGATAGTGAAGCCGATAATAAGATCGATCATGGGATCTGTAGAATGGGACGGATAGTGAGATCAAAAGTGAGATCGACACTGATATTGATTGCGACGTTAGTTGTGACATTGAGATAGACAGCGGGGGCGATAGTGACATTACATCGCAGCGCACCATCGTCATCACGCGTCGTCGCTTATTCGAGGGCGCATCACCAGCATCGTCATAATCACCATACCCATCGCATTTGTCAGCAGTTGGTTCTTTCCCCCCACCCCCCACCCTCCTTATCAGCCGAAGGGTGCTCGTATAGGTATACAATCAACCCGTATAGGTTACCCTTGCATTCTTCTCTGCGGCTCATCCTTGTCCTTGGCCGCTTTCGCTGGCCGCGCCCCCCTCGCCAAGTGTCGACATGGCCTTCCAAGGCCCTTGCATCCTTCTTGTGCGTCCTGATTCTACGTATTGGCTGTATCATCGACGGGGCGATCGGCGCCACACCAAAATAGTGATACCATGTGTGCGTCGCCCCTCTCCACAGGCGATGCGCGCGCCAACAACTCTTGTAGTATATGCTTCGTGGCGAGCGCTTTCTGGCCGTACCGCTCGGGAGACGATATGCTACAAGATGGTTGTACTCTCTGTTCGGGTCGGACGCACGCCTCCGAGGAGGCTATATAGTACTAGCATGTCCTTGTGCGTCCCATCGAGGGGTAGATGTGGTCGAGGAGGTCTCGGCCACCGCGAGCTCTCTTGGTGGAAAGAGCTGCTGCCCATCGTCTGGAGTGATGAACAGATGTGGTCCGTCTGATCTACCCACTTTGGCGGTCGCGGCCTCGCTCGCGCCGACGAGGCGAAGCAAGTCGCAGCGGCGGGAACGGACGCGCGCGACCTGGCCCTGATTCGGGCTCGCTTTGGATCGCCGCACGTCCCATGATGGACACGTCCGCGGGCGGTGCCGAGGTCTTGTGCACTTTGCTCAGCACGGCTTATTCTGGATGGTATTTTTATCAAGTGGGGGTTGATGGACCTTCCGACGGAGCTTGCACATCCTTCATCCTCCCTCTCTGCCTCCATTTCCTCCTCCTCGTCACCCTTTTTCTCCTCCTTCGCCTCTTCCTCCAACTCACCCTCCGCCCCGTTCCAACAGCACGTGCATCCCCCCCCCAACCCCCGTGGATCCAATGGGAGGGGGGCCGATCATATATGATCCCATCCAGCGTATCCGATCCCTATCCACGCTGGGCCATGGTCTCTCAGCCCCACCAGCCCACCCCCGCAGTTGGGGAGGGACCCCGCGAAGACCGAAGGGAACAGCACGCATCGCCATCTGGGGGGTAGGTCGGTGGGTGGGGCCAAGGCCATGCCAATGGGGGTAGGGATCGGTGAAACGATGGCAGGAGGAGGGCGAGGAGGAGGGCGATGCTCATTGAGGGGCAGGAGGAGGGCGAGGAGGAGGAGGGCAGTCTTACCCAGCGCACGCATGCTCATCCGGGGGGGCGTCGATCGGTCAGTGGGGCGGGCCATGCCGGTGGGGATGGGAATTTGTACAGTGATGCTCGTCTGTGCTTTCCCGCCCGCGGTCTGAGCTTGGCTGGGCGCCGCCCCGGTGCCTCGGAGGTGCCCCCTCGTTCGTCGAGGGCGCCCCCTATGAGCAGCAGTGCGGTGCAGTGCGGAGCCATGCAGATTCGATACAGTGCAGCGTGATGCGCAGCGTACGAGAGCAATGTGATGCTCAGTCGTGCACTACAAAAGGGAGGCAGTGCAATGCAAAGCAACGTGACGGAAAATAAGCGACAGCTGAGTGGGCCAAAGCAAGACAACGCAATGCATTGCGAACCAATGGAAGACACGTCAAGTCACATCAAACCAGAGCAAAGAGGGGCACTACAAGAAATGCGCAGCACCGCCGCAATGTAATTAGCTGCAGTGCGTTTGAGATCAAACCTGAGCAGCACCGCAACATGTATTTCCCTGTGTGTCAATACTGTTTTTCGCTGACTCTAAGCCTTAGTTTGCTATCAGTCGTATAGAATGAGTGTAGTTAGCTGTTCACTAGAGTTGTACGCCCTTATTGAGGCCGCGCTCGCTTCATCAGAGAGGCCAGACGCTGAAGCCATGACGATAATATTGAAGTCATCTCATGACAAGCGAAGGTATTTTCGTGGAGTCTGCGATGGACACCCTCTCGCCGAATTCCGAGGCGCGTGCCATGGAGCACGCTCGCAGGGAAAAGGCCCATGCAGAGGAGCTCAAGAATCTATGCCGTCAAGTCGACACCGACTTCTCGGGGAAGTTGACCAGGGAGCAGTTTGAAGACGGCCTTCGAAGGAAACACATTCCGAGGCCCAGGGCGGGAAATCTGTTCGTGCCCCTGCGTTTCTCCTCGCCGATCCTTCCCACTCACTGCTAAGCTGCTGCCTGCGGCAAGTCCCGCTCGCTATCGTCCCAGTCCGGCAGCTTGGGCTGCGACTGGTCATGGGGCGCGCAGGATGCGGTTATGTGCGGCACTTCGTGTCCACAGGCTGGGGAAAGCCGTCATTTGTGACGCGCTTTTCCGAATCGTGTGGGGGGTCCTCTTCTCCTCTTGGTCCTCGCTCCCTTCCGTCCTTCGTGGGCTCCCGTGAGGCAGCCTTCGGGGTCCTTCGGGCCACTTCGGACCCTCTTTGGGCCCTCTTGGACCTTGTGGGTCGTTTTTCTGCCCTTCTCCTCCGTGGCCCTCCTCGTAAAACTTCGACCTTGGATTCTGGATCTTGGGTCCTCCTCCTTCCTCTCGATCCTCGACTTTCCTCCTCCTCCTCCTCCTCCTCCTCCTCCTCCTCCTCCCCCAACTGTTCGATCCTCGACCGGGGCGTGCTGACCCCATTCTTTGACGCGCGCATCAAGTGCGCCAAGAGGTGTGCCCAGCGATCAAAATGACAACGGGCCAGGGGATGAGGAGGGCCCGTGGGGCATCGCGCGAGGCTGCTCATGCTGCTCCAGCTGCAGACGCACCATGTCATGGAGTTCTTTGACACCATGTCCGACGTCGCGGACGACGACGGTCAGGTCGAGATCGAGACCTTCGTGCGCGGCTGCATGCAGCTGAAGGGGCCCGCCACCAACTTCGACCTGCAGATGTTCGTCGCCGAGTTCAGGACGGAAGCTGGCAACTGTACACACGCAACAACCCTGGCCAGGTTCACCCTTGGCCTTCGATCGTTGTATCAGCCCTCGCGGCCACGTTTTTTGTTTTTGCTGTTGTTTTGTTTAGCTTTGTTTTGGTTTGTTGTTTTGTTGTTGTTGCTGTTGCTGCTGCTGTTGCTGTTGCTGCTGTTGTTGTTGCTGCTGCTGTTGTTTTGGTCGGTTTTTCATGTCTTAAGATTAATTATAGTTGACCCCCTCTGGTAACCATTTTGCATTTTTCAATTAGAGTGCTCCTCCCGGGGTCGTACCTTTTTTGCAAGGGGAAGTCTCGGGCCACCAAACTGTGTCTTTGGCCCCCGATTAACAGCAACAGCGGCTCCCGCCTGATACTTCCTCACAAGTTATTCCAAAATCGCCCTCTCGCGCGGGACTTCCTCAGACTCGATGCAGGACTCGCGCTCTCACGTGGGAATTCTTTTCAATTTATTCAGACGCGGCGCCCTCGACATTCAGGAGTCACGCTCTCGCTCTGGCTTTTCTCACGATTCATGTGGGAATTGCGTTATCGCTCGAGCTCTCCTCGCGATTCATCCAGTACTCACGCTTCAGCAAGCCGACTGCTCGACATGGCCGCTTGGGCCCGCCTTCCCAACCCGCTCGTTAGGGTCTACCCGTCCGATGGGCTCATTTGGTTCTGCCACGTGTTGTCTGCTCCTAGCCCCCCTCCTGCTATTCCCGTGTTCGATCCTTCTCCCTCCCTTTTCCATCCGTCCTCTCTTCCCCTGTTTCAGGGGCTGCGCCAAGTACATATACCCCCAGGGATGTTCGATCGAGGACGAAGAGGGCGGGTCTCGAGGGTCGGGAATATACGTGTTGAATGGCACGCGAGCCGGTAAGAGAGAACAGTTTTTTGGTCTGTGGGTCGAGAGCGAGCCTCTTCCGGTTAAAAACTAGGCGGGCTACGCAAAGCTCGAATTGGGGAGACAGAGCACAGGCGGGCGGGGCCTCAGGCGGCTGGAGGGCGGGCCAGGGTGCATGCGGTGCCGAGGAGCTTGCACAGGAAAAGGAACGCCTCGGACAGGAGCCGGAGGCGAAGACCCGGAGGGTGAGCGGTCTGGTGTTGCCGTCGACGGCGCATCGTAAACACCATCCTCAAGTGCTGCGTGAGGATGAACGGCGCATCGTAAACACCATCCTGAGAGAAGAGCCCGTTTCTTTATTGCTTGGGGCATGACGGGCGTCATGGCCCCCGCTCCCCCCCCCCCTATGACGTAACGCTCCCCCCCAGTGCGCTTCGGGCACTGCCGCCGTGCGCATTGGGATCCGCGTAGGTGTCCGCGTAGGAATCCGCATAGGTGTCTGGTCCGCAGGCGTCGTCGTCGTCGTCGTCGTCGTCGTCGTCGTCGTCGTCGTCGTCGTCGTCGTCGTCCGTCGTCGTCGCTCGTGATTCGTCGCTCGTCGCTCATCGTCGTCGTGCGAGCGGACGCGGCTGGAGCCTGTTTTTAAGTCGGGGCTGATGACGGCAATCATCTGGGGGGGAGGGGTCGATGACGTCACGTTTCGCGCCAGCGGCGTCTGGGAATGCTTGGGAATGACGGAGGACGGGTAGCACGAACTGTAGGTGGCGATATGCACCACAACGCCTGTGTACATCACAGTGCCCGCGTGCACCACAGCGCTTGAATACACCACACCGCCGATGTACACCACAGCAGCCGCGTGCAACACAGCGTCAGTTTGTGCCACCGTGCCTGCGGGCACAGCAGCTCCTGTGTACACCACAGCGCTTCCGTACACCACATCAGCCGTGCGCAACACAGCACCAGTGTACACCACAATGCCTGCGTGCATTGCAGTGCATGTGTACGCCACGGCGCCTGTGTGCACCACGTCAGCCGTGTGCAACACAGCACCATGGTTGTGTATAGGATTTCAGAAAGGATCCTTGTGACAAAATGGAGCGCGTGTGGATTCCAGAGAAAACAATGGAAAACAAATCCTCATGGACAAAAGAGCGCCGGTGGAATCTACGAGTCCCCCCGAGTCCGCCCGCATCACCCTAACTCCCATTTGCGTCCAGGAGGCTCCAGCTAAACTGGCCGTCCGAGAACCAAGTGGACCGATTCAATCGACCATTCTGCGGTGCACGCTGAGATGCGCACGTGCGTTGTAACGCCAAGCCGCACGACAGGGGGTAAGGAAGAGGAGGAGGAGGAGGAGGAGGAGGTGGAGGAGGAGGGAGGAGGGAAAAACGTCGCATTCGATTATCAGAACTTTCCTGGCGTGGCGTTTAGTTGTCCGCAGCAGATCCTGACGTACATGCTCCTTCTACCTGTCCTATGCACGCAGGCACTGTGGTGTACACCAGCGCTGCGTTGCACGCGGATGCTGTGGTGTAGACAGGCGCTGTGGCGTGCACAGGCGCTGCGGTGCACGCAAGCACTGTGGTGTACACAGGCGTTGTGTTGCACATGGCTGCTGCGGTGTATGTACACCGGCGCTGTAGTGCTCCCAAGTATTGTGGTATACACGGGCGGTGCGTTGCACACGGCTGTTGCGGTGTACGCAGGCGCTGTGGTGCACACGCGCGGTGTGGTGCACGCGAGCGTTGTGGTGTACACAGGCGCAATGGGCAGATCGCCACTTACATGCTGCTCGCGTCGTCGTCGTCGCTCGTCGCTCGTCGCTCGTCGCGTCGTGCGCGCGGGCGCGGCTGTGGTGCCGGAACCACACGGCGGGGGGGGGGGCGTCACGTCATACCCCCCCCGCCCTCCCCCCCTTCCCCCCCATGACGCCCGTCATCGCCGAACATAAAGGAACGCGCTCGAACAGTCATAAAATGATTGTAACAGTTGTTGTTCCCAACCCTCCTTGGTTGGGTATTCGTTTTGAATAAAGGGGTGTGGTCGCGTCCCCCTCCCGCCTCCCGCCTCCTCCTGCCCTCTCTTCGCCGACGATGGGGGCTGCGATCTGCGAAACTGTCGCCACTTTCGAGGGCTGCTGGTGGGTCCAGCGGAGTGAGGCACCGCGCAGATCTGAGCAAAACCCCGCCGTGTCTGGGGGGCTGCGATCTGCGAAATTGTCGCCACGTTCGAGGGCTGCTGGTGGGTCCAGCGGAGTGAGGCACCGCGCAGATCTGCCTCGCCGTGCCTGGGGGGCTGCGATCTGCGAAACTGTCGCCACTTTCGAGGGCTGCTGGTGGGTCCAGCGGAGTGAGGCACCGCCGCAGATCTGAGCAAGACCTCGCCGTGCCTGGGGGCTGCGATCTGCGAAATTGTCGCCACTTTCGAGGGCTGCTGGTGGGTCCAGCGGAGTGAGGCACGGCGCAGATCTGAGCAAGACCTCGCCGTGCCTGAGGGGCTGCGATCAGCGAAATTGTTGCCACTTTCGAGGGCTGCTGGTGGGTCCAGCGGGGTGAGGCACCGCGCAGATCTGAGCTGGACCTCGCCGTGCCTGGGGGGCTGCGATCTGCGAACTGTCGCCACTTTCGTGGGCTGCTGGTGGGTCCAGCGAAGTGAGGCACCGCCGCAGATCTGAGCAAGACCTCGCCGTGCCTGGGGCTGCGATCTGCGAAATTGTCGCCACTTTCGAGGGCTGCTGGTGGGTCCAGCGGAGTGAGGCACCGCGCAGATCTGAGCTGGACCTCGCCGTGCCTGGGGGGCTGCGATCTGCGGAACTGTCGCCACTTTCGAGGGCTGCTGGTGGGTCCAGCGGAGTGAGGCACCGCGCAGATCTGAGCAAGACCTCGCCGTGCCTGGGGGGCTGCGATCTGCGAAACTGTCGCCACTTTCGAGGGCTGCTGGTGGGTCCAGCGGAGTGAGGCACCGCGCAGATCTGAGCAAGACCTCGCCGTGCCTGGGGGGCTGCGATCTGCGGAGCTGTCGCCACTTTCGAGGGCTGCTGGTGGGTCCAGTGGAGTGAGGCACCGCGCAGATCTGAGCAAAACCTTGCCGTGCCTGGGGGGCTGCGATCTGCGGAACTGTCGCCACTTTCGAGGGCTGCTGGAGGGTCCATCGGAGTGAAGCACCGCGCAGATCTGAGCAAGACCTCGCCGTGCCTGAGGGGCTGCGATCTGCGAAATTTTCGCCACTTTCGAGGGCTGCTGGTGGGTCCTGCGGAGTGAGGCACCGCGCAGATCTGGGCAAGACCTCGCCGTGCCTGGAGGGCTGCGAGCCTCACGAATGCCGCTCGCAGAACTATATGCGCCCATGTCACGTCATCACCTCCGTATAACGTCTCCCAAGCTACTCATGCCCCGCACTGCGCAGGGGTTGGGTACGTCACCAGGGTAATTGAGCCATCAGTTCTAAATAATAATTATGGCTGATCCCCCCTCCAGTAACCATTCAAGGTTTCAATTCAAGTGCCCCCCTCCGGGCTTGCACCTTGGTTTTTACAACGGAAAGCATCGGGCCACCAAACCGTGCCCCTGGACCCGGTTTGCAACAACAGCGGCTCCCGCCTGATATTTCCTCACAGTGTATTCCACAGTTTTGCTCTCGCGCGGGACTTCCTCAGACTTTCTGCAGGACTCGCGCTCTCGCATGGGATTCCTCGCAATGTATTCAGAGGCCGCGCCCACGCTCTCGCTTTGGCTTTTCTTGCCTTCTGTAAGGAGCCCAATAATGCATTCTGGAAGAGGCCAGTAAGGCCTTCTGTAAAGAGCGCAATAAGACCTTCTGTAAGAAGCCCAATGAGGCCTTCTGCAAGGAGCCCAATAATGCCTTCTGTAAGGAGCCCAATGAGGCCTTCTGTAAGGAGCCCAATAAGGCCCGCTGTAAGGAGCCCCATAAGGCCTTCTGTCAGGAGCTCAATAAGACCTTCTGTAAGGAGCGCAATAAGGCCTTCTGTAAGGAGCCCAATCTGGCCTTCTGTAAGGAGCTCAATAAGGCCTTGTATAAGGAGCTCAGAGAGGCCTTCTGGGAGGAGCTCAAAATGGCTCCAGATGGGTTTTCACCCCGGAGCGGTTCCAGGGTGATTCCAGAACCTGAAACGGTCAGTGTCA